TGTCAAGTATAGTACGTTTGTTCAATTCGGCGTCCTAGAGGCGAAGTGCTGGAGTGGTGAGCGAGGTGAAGTCTTGAGTTTGGATAGGGGAGTGTCCCGAACTGCCATGAGGCGGGCCAGTTCGGGTCATTGCCTTGTGTGAGGCTCGGGGCCTAAGGGAGAGTTCGGGCTCCTTGTAGGGAGTTCGGATTGCTGGTAGGGAATTCGGACTGCTGGTTCCTCCCTTTGGTGTTCGCGCCCTGGGCGCGCTATTGTGCCGAGYTGTTTGCCTTTGCCACGTGTTGAGTGATTACGAGGTCGGGCCAAATCTTCCTTCATCACATGTAAAGTTGTAAAAATTATATTGGAATTCAAATGTTAAATTTATAAATTATAATATATTTAAAATTTGAAGTTGGAACTTGGAAGATTGGAACTGAATTAAATACTTTATTAGATAGTATATTTTTGTTCTCGTTCGTTGATTATAATATGTTTTTTCATAAAACCTATTAAAACATGACTTTTATGTATAAACAAAGTTCAAAATATCGATACACCCGATATGCTAATAGGGGCATATTAGGCTATATTAGTACTTTTTTTACTTTTTTTTTTCAAAACCAATTCTGGGGGCCGGTTTAAGGCTCCTCCACCCCCTGAACTGGTCTGGTCAGAACTCCAATACACCCTCTATAGGGACATATCGAGGAGCCCCCAAAATGATACACGCCAACCGATACGAGCTGATACATGTCTATACTTCGAACATTGTGTATAAATAGCTTATTTAGGTCCTATATTTAGTGATATTAATATTTATTTATAATTTATTAAAATATTTATAGCATTTCCACGTGTTTCCATACATATCTTAAATTTTCATCAATATCCATATATATCCAAAGCGTATCTCAATACATCTTCTAAATTTGCCTTTCTGATATGTATAGCATTTCTAACCTTGTTTGAAAGGGTAATTGCTATATAAAAGACATGAGCCTTGGAATATAGTTATGTTTATGTATTTCTCAAAACAGTAACCTCCAAATTAACTCGGGGAATATTTCAATTCTCAACTAGAAAAAACCTGTTGAAAAAATATAGCTAGATCGGAAAAGGGGTTAATGATACAGAAAATGAAAATCCATTCTATACAACTACTATCAAGCATGCCAACGAAAAATTAAACAAAGAAAAAAAAGAATGCTCAATCTATTTGTTGCAATTCTACTCTGTTATCCCAGACGCTGTGTTTTCCAGATCAATTTCTCCCATCCCCGTATCTTCCTCTTCTTCACTGCCTTCATCGCCACTAACTTCTTCATTGTCAAGACGCAATTTAGCCATGTGCTCGGCAAGTAATTTATCCTCACGCTCGCTCACCTACAACAACAGTATACAAGTTTAATCCCATAACATGAAAGAACAAAATTTCGCATGATATAAGCATCTTCAATATTGTATTATGTCCAAATGAATTAAGCCAAGAATTCAATAGTTTTCAAGAAATAAAAAGTAAAAACCACATACATAAACAGCCAAGTATTAAAAGATTCAAGAGAGTGAAGAGATCGGTATTTACAGCTCTAGGTGCTTCCTTCACTACAAGTTTTCCCTTGTGACGCTCTATTTCATCGGTGCAGGCTCTGATTGCATTATTAAGAATTGATATTCCTTGTTCCTGACATCCACAACAGACATGATATGAGATAAGTAGACAACAATGGTGAAGTAAAATAAATAAATAATCATCATATAAGCAACAAGTATAAATGATAACAGCTTTAATTGCACTTTCAGTAATCCTCCAAGGCTACTAGAAAGACACCCTGAGGAACATGTCATACTTTGAGGTGCCTTATGCAAGTACATGTATTTCATACATGAAATGATAAAAGTGAAATAGGACTCCCACCAAAATAAAAGGCATAGTTCCTTTTGGTAACAGTTCAATCTGGATCAAACCATTTGGAATGTAAATGTTCTATAAACATTAGATTTGAGACCTAAGATAAAAGGATTTTAGATTAGGGGGGACAAAAATAATGTCCTCCCTTATATACACTATAATGTCCCAAAATAGATAGAAAGATTTAAAAAATGATTGAAGAGGAACAACCAAAGAATAAGGAAAAATGGGAGAGGAGGGGGAGGAGGTCTGTGGCAACTTAGCAACACACTCATAGCCAGTCTGTGAAGAGACAAAACAAGTCCACCTACTATGTATAAATTATGTGTCTTTAGGTTTCAAATATTTAATAACAAAAATTTTGTAAGCATTTACTAAATAGTCACCTGGTAAATTGTTCAAACAAGTCAAGGGTTCACTGACCAAGTTAATGAGTTTTTAGCATTTAATAGGTCTGGGTTGCAAATTGTTTTCTCCTATCTCCTCCAGGCAACAGGCTCAATAGACTGAAAGTCTGGATCAACGGTGGGTTCAAACACTGAAAACAAGACATTCAGAAAGATGCCAGAAGAATTATCTCTAGCCATGGAAAAGAAATGTATTAGCACAAAATTGTCAAAGAAAGAGATCTCAAGGTCGACCCATACTATCATGGACCATGGGTGAAAATGGATCACGCTCCATTTAGAACCCAGACTTTTACACCTCCAGAATGAAGGCTGCAGTATCATATCCTTCATTTCATCAAGAAAACATGGTCTATCCTGGAAACTGGAATGTTCCATAGACTTTCATCTGCTCTTGCCACACCTAGAATATTCACACTCAAATAATCCTTTTCCTCTATCATGGAAAATACCAATGCTAGTCCTTTCTTCCTAAAGAATACTTCGGCTCTCCATTCACAGTCCAGCACTCCAACTAGAGTTTCACTTTGTTTCAAAAGCATGTGACAAACCAATACTTGGACCTATTGCAGAGGAAAAGAATGAGATGATCATACATTTGACCATATGTCTGTTTCAAGTGCCTTCAGGAAGAAAAAGTCAACCCTTACCTCCTAACCAGGCAATTTTGGCAGTTTTTTCTTGGACTTGGCAGGGATGGCTATTTCCATAGGACAAACTCCATGGAGCATTGAGGACTTGTTCAATCAATGGAGAGGGCAAAGACTTGGATTTAAGGGTAAAAACTACTAGGAGGTCATTACCCATGTCGTGATCGGGTGCACATGAGAAGAAAGAAATAAGAGGATGTTTTAAAACAAAGAACACCCCTTAAGGTTTTAAGAGTTAGGATGCTGTCCATGCTTAGCTCATGGATGCTTCCAACGAAAGGAGTTCAAAGGAATTTCTTACAATGATCTATGAACAAACATATAGAAAATCATTTTATCCTCTCCTATGAACCCTCCTAATAGAGTCCATTCTTCTCCACCAACCACGTATGGGCTTTAGTATGGTGGAAACTCTATCAGGCATGACATTTAGGCCCTTTAGTGGATCCATTATGGATGCAGATTCCATGGGGGCTCATAAAATGATATACAACTTCAGGTCTCATCCCTGGCAATTGAGGCCACTCTAAGAATGCAATTGAGTAGTGACAGAAAGTTGGAAGTAGGCCTCAGAGACCAAAGCATTTTTTCAACCAAATTATATAAATTATGGCTTCATTAAATGGAAGACATAAATGGACCCCAAGAGAGTTCTATTGCCGATATTCTCACCAGATCCGGGATAGAGAGGACCTTTTTTTATATACAAAGACTAACAATTTGCCTGCCTAGCTTTTAGATAAGGAGTGAGTTGTCTTTTTGTTTATATACTGTGCAGACCAGTACTCTCACGTGCACCATTCTATCTTTTTGTTACTTTTTCCTCAAATTTTAACAGGTACTAAGCTTTGTTAACCTTAGTTTGGGATTGGCTTTTTATATGCTCAGGTTGGTTTGGTTGAGACTCTAGGTCAAATGCCAGATTGTGTTAAAATTTGTGGGTTGGGCTTACATTTTGGAAACATAAAAAAGTCATTGGTTTGATGTTAGAGCTTCAGTCAGCATGTCAAAATTCATACTTTTATACATTAGATTTCTTCATTATGCTTTATAATGATATGCATTTAATATTTTGGCAGTAAATAACAATCAAAGAAGTTTTTACAGTGAAAAAGTAACAACATGAGCAACAACCTCTGAAAGAAATCAATACTCTTTTTGTTCAATTTATCCTGTGGTAGTTGCATTTGCATGATTGTAGGCTGCCCATCCTAGAGTCCACATTTTCCTTTTAGATTTAAACTTAGTTCTAAGTTTTAGCTTCAATCCACTAAAGCGCCCACGCGCCCACTCCTACCGAAAAGAACTAGGTTTATTCATTATATATATATATATTATCAAATGCCTATAAGGAAAACTGTTGGTTCTATAATTTTGTTCATTCCTTTCCTTCTTATTATACAGTAACATGGGAATGGCAGGAAGTAGCTCCAACAGTCCAATCCAAACAAAATTGACAAACACAAGTTCCTTTTCACTTGGGCTCCACCCTTTAATTCAGATAGAACCAGACCACATATTGGAACTTAAGTTCACAAAACACACATGCAAACAAAGCAGGGAAGAACAACAACAAAGAGCTGATCAGGCTACCTACTAAAATGGCATCGTAGAAGAAAATCAGTTCTGCATTTGTTTTTGGGCAGCAGAAATTGCATGAATCAAAAGCACACAAAACCATAACAACTGGATTGCAAGGTTTCCACTGACCTTAATGCTAAAAATTAAAGAAGTTTCCACTGACCTTGTCAAGAGTTTGAGTTGTAAGAACATAGAGTGGAGGAGCAACTAGTTTAATCTTCACTGGACAATCAATATTGCCAGCAGCTTCAGCTTTTCGCATGGCCTCCTACAAAATTGAATACAAACATTAAATACAATGTTTAAGGCTAAACAACACATTGGGCAATCTTGGGAAAGAAGTATGACAAAAGATGTGCACAATCAAGACCTTGATGTGCAAAACCCCATCAAACTGAAAACATTTCATTTCAATGTCTGCACGAATCTTCAGTGGTTGAGGAGTCATTCTCCTCCTAATATTTTTTATCAAGGCATCTTTCACCTCATCTGACATAGCAGGCACTACTTTAGTCACCTGTAAGATAAATGAATGGGAAACAAGCTTGAGTATCAACTCAGATAATGACATCTAAATCTCAAGTATACTTTCATTACCTCCTGGCCATCAGGACCAACTTCTTTAATTTCACGAGTGAGCGAATTTAGAACAGAATCAGGATCAGTCACAATTAGCTTAAATGCCTGCTCAAAGAAGAATATTTAGGCTGCCCAACTTCAATATCATGAGCTAATGATCTCTGAAAATTTAAATAGGTTTATAAAATAAAAGCTTTAGGATACAACCTCGAAAGCATGCCCATATTTGCGGTACAATGGCCAGCCAACATGGATATACAGATTCTGTAACAATTAAAGACCAACATTCAGCAAGTGGCGCAGCAGAATAAAATGGATAGAGTCCACAAGCATACCCACAAGTTTTTAGTCATACTACAAAACATAAGGACAAAAAGATATGGTCTGGACTGTTTATGTAAAACAAACACAAAACTTCTTCAATTAGAAGAAAATAAATATCTTGGGATTTCTAAAAATTAGATGCATGGGGCCAAATTATCAAGATTTCTTGGATCCACCCGATAGTAAGAAGAAATTTCATTCCTTTTCTTTTTTATTCTTGAGCATACACAAACTTCCAGGATGGGATACATGCTGCCAAGAGATGAAGACAAACCTCCTATAATGACATATTAAGTCAAAAACTGATGTATGCTGCAAAGAAAAAGGAAAGCACTTCCCAAAAATGATAACTTGTATATATCTAGAGAGAAAAAGAGGTAAGGATGGAAGGGGGAGGGGGGAGGGATAGGAGTAAGGATAGAGAGAGATGGAGACACTCACCGAAAATGATATATGGTGCCAATGAAATCCCTTAGAATGAACTTCTACAGCTAGAAAGAAAGCATGCATGGTATGCAAGCATTCACTTCCCAGGATGACCTTTAAATTACTAAAGCATCCAATGATATCCCTTAGAACCATAACCAAAAAAAAAATTATATGTAGCCAATTCCAACTTTTCCTCAATAAATGAAACAAACACATTAGAAGAAAATTAAAGCTCATCTTACCTCCTAAGTTCACTTGAGGACACAACTCATGACAATCTTAAAACAGCAGTTCCTTTGTTTACTATAATATTCATGATGTATTCCTGCATTTTTTTACTATAATATTCTTTTTTATGCACAATTTGTCTTCCTCAGATCACAAATTAATGCAAATAAGCTCCCTTCCCTGGACTAGCACCCCATCTCTAGTTTAAGGAAGATAAGAACATAAGACTTCTAAATGGGGAAAGCGAAAATGTCATGGTGTTGAGGAATAATGGTTGTATTATTGTAATAGAGTTAAGAGAAAATGGAAGATTTAAAAGAGGAAATGAGTTTGGAAGGTATTCCAGTACTGGAGAAATCCAGTTGCTGCTGCAACTTTTAGCAATGCATGTTGCGATTGTTAACAATACCACTGCCAAACAGCATGAAGGGAGAGAGTCAAGAATAAGAGAAAAAACAATTGAGGAATTACAGTATAACTAGTTTTAATGGGAAAAACATAAGCAAAGCATAGAATTATGGAAGAAAAAAATAAAGAGAAAGAAAGATTGAGAATAAGATCTACAAAGGTATCAAACCGATAAAATGAACAACTTTAATTAAATTATTCACACCACAAATTCTCGTTAAATTGGGCCTTATCTATAAACTAATAAGATATTGTTGATTCACGTCTCTGGACAAATTAAAAGATACGATTTTAATCACTCTAGAACTAAGATAAGACAAGATAATATGGACCCATCAATATACCCTCCAAGACACACTTAAAATAGAGAAACAAATAAGGCCTTAATCCACAACTAATTAGAAGACAATAGGACAACAAAAATCCTAAAACTAATAAGACTACTGAATTCAATTAACTCAAATAAAGTAATTCCCATATCCCAACACAGAATTATACATTTATATTTTGGCCAAAGGTCATTTAACTAATATCTGAATATCATAATCATGAGATTCTCGGTAGGCAATCCTTCCCTCTTTTGTTAATGAAAAGTTAACTTTTCTCAAAAAAAAATCACTGGCCTTTCTGCAAATAAGATATTTCCTTGCATATATGTTTATTCCAAATATGTCCTGCCAGTCAATCCAACTCAACCCAAAACTCTATTAAAACTCCCGGTACCCTCTCTCTGTGCAAAGTGTAAGCTGTTTAGTCAGAGATGGAGGAAATGAAATGCAGTAGCTTTTTTTTTTGAGAAAATTTAACCAAGATTTTTTGAGAATAAATGGGGGGGGACCCCTGCAAGTGACAAAGGAGGAAGCTTGTTGCTATACAGATGCTCCAAATACACACCAAATTTAGCTAGGCCATCTGCAGTATGATTGTATTCCATAGGAATCCAAACTAAGTTAACATTCAATCCATCCAAAGAATCCCAAGCTTCAGTCAGATAGTGATAAAGTCTCCAAGGGCCCCCTTTTTTGTCTCTTAACCATTTTGTTGTATTTGCTGAATCACCTGCAATGATCAAATTCTGAATATCCAAATTCTTAATTATCTTGATTCCGGTGAGAGTATCCATCACTTCAGCCTTTGTGGAGTCGGCCCAACTGATTGGGCCACTAAAATTCCAGTAGATATTGCCCCTTTCGTCCCTTACTATACCACCAATACCTGCAAAGCCCGRATTGCCTAAGGCACAACCGTMAAAATTAAGGGTTATCACACCTTCACTGATGGAAACGGGATGCCTCAAGGGAGTTTGTTGAGGATGAGGCAGAAACAGAAAGGGGTGAATATTTCTAATAATATCATTGATTGAAAGTCCTTTAAATAGATCTGAATTCACCGATCAAAGGATGCAAAGATAGGTAATATCTAAGATTAACTCCTCCAAGGTTCTGCTTTTATTGTCAAAGATAYGRGTRYTTCTTTCATCCCAAACGCCCCACATTACTGCATGAGGCACTGATTGCCAAAAGACTTTACCCCCTTTGCTAAGCCCTATTCCTTGCCATTGATTCAAGTTGTCCATAATGTGTTTTGGAAAAGCCCAGTTGTACCCTGCCATATTCAAGAAATGGGACCATATCATTTGAGTGAAGTGGTGGGTGTCGAATCCAACCAAAGAAAAATGTCCTGCTCAATTTAAATATTTGTATATAGTGATGAGCAAGGTCGTCTCCACAGGGATTGGGTGGATTTATTTCCAAATATACGAAGTAGGGGGTTGTTGAATTAAGGAAAATAAGATGAAATAAAAGAAAATAACAGAAAGCAAGGATCAAATCGATGGGAGATAGCTTCTGGTTGAAGGGACAAGTTCAGCTTTGATTCTTATCATTGATCCTCGATGCAAGGATAAATTCATATGTTTACRAATAAATTGGTTATAGCCATTAAYAAGCTCTAACAGCCAGCCTCTACTCGTATTATTCAACAACAAAAACAAGCTCTTTGATTGCTTCTCTTATTAATAGACAGTCCTGAACAAGCTCTTAGGATTTAATCTATTAATAGCATTAAGAGGGGAGAGACCCAATTCTGGTCAGCGATCTCACAAGCTCGGACCGTTTAAACCARATCATACATTTTCCTAACATAGATCRAAAACTTTTTTGCAATCAATTTCTGTTAGTTGCCACCATGATCAAACCTACCAATCATATACGAAACTGGAGGTTCAATCGGCCATAGATTATTCTAATTGAATGAGCAAGGACGCCTTCTTGCTTAATCAATAAAAATAATCTTCACAGTTAATTGCAGAAAACATATGAATATCCATAAACAATGAACTGAAATAAAAATCAATTAGATCTCACAATGTTTATAGAATCAAAGTTTCCCTAACCTTTCAACCAGAAATTAAAACCTTACAGACACTTCATGATGAAATCGCAGCTTCCAGGTGAGAGGGGGCGAACTCTGCTTCCTCCTCCTTGGTTGTTGATTGCTCTTCTTGAAGGCTGAAGCTCTCTTCGAGGATTTGATGGTGCCTTGGGTGCTAGTCCGCCCCCTTTATATAGACTTAGGAGGGAGTTGTCTCCTGCTCCTCTTAGGAGTTCTTTCTCCATTGCGAGTTTAGTTCTCTAATAGATAATGCCTAGATTAGATCTAATCTACTCCTATCTCTTAACTGGTAATCTTAATCTCTCTTATCTTTCTAGAAATACAGTAGAAAGTTAAATCTGATAGGACTCTTTGATGATTCTTATTCTTGCATGCTAAATTCGTATTGGGCTTCCTCAACGATTTGGGCCGCTGCAAGGCTTCTCTGTGAGCTGGGCTTCTGCTGCGAACTGGGCTTCATCTATGAGTTGCTTAGACTTCGGGCCCGATTTTGACCTCGATGCAGTCCGAATCTATCAAAACTCAAAACATGAAAGTTGTAGAGTTTTTCCTTATCTTTCCAATGCATCTTGAATCATCTCAATCGGAGTCCGGATGGGAGAGTTATGCTCAAATTACCACACGGCACCGAAACTGTGCAAAATTACCCGATTAGCCTTATTTTTCACCTAACGCCTTCTTTCGTGCCCTAAATCAAAATACAAGAATAGTGAGTCCAATTAGGCACTAAATAAGTATAAAAGTCTGAATATTAAGGGATAAAAATATGATAATTTTCATTCCCATCATGAAGCTGCAATGAAGGATGTGATCTACAGATTCACCCTCACTGAGACATAAAATACAAACATGAGGAGAAATGGAGCGTCTTCCCAAAAGCTTTTTCTGAAGGAGATCACAAGTATTAACTTTCTGGAGACAGGCTTCCCATACAAAGAAGCAAACTCTTGAGAGGATGTGGCTGCACCAAATTTTCTTGTAAGGAAAAGAGGGATGCTGATCTTCAGCAGTCAAAGCCCTGAACATAGACTTGGAAGAGAATTCGCCATTTGGGTGAAGGGTCCATATTCGGGTGTTAGAATGAGAGGGGGATATATAGGAATCTTTGAGGGTTTGGATTAAAGCTATTAAATCAAAAATCTCCGAGTCCCTTAGGGGTCTTCTGAGGTGGAGGTTTAAAGAATTCTCGGCAGACTGGTTTGGGAGGCAATCAGAAATAGAGGCTTCTTGGACAAGGGTGAGGTTAAACAGCCTAGGGAAAGAGGCATCCAAGGTAGATTCCCCCCACCAAAGATCTTTCCAAAATTTAATTTTAGAACCATTTCCCACTTTATACCTTATAAAAAGAAAGAAAGAAGCATGAATGGAACATATACCTTTCCAAGGATTAATGGCCTTTATCCTGTTCAAATGGAGATTGCTACCCCACCCGTTTGTATTTTGTCCATATTTACTTGAGATGACAGCAATCCAAAAAGCATTAGGTTCTTTCAGAAATCTCTAGAGCCATTTGCCTAGAAGAGAGGAATTTTTCTCTTTAAGTTGTCCAATACCCAAACCGCCTTCCTCTTTTGGTCTGCATACTTGTTTCTAGCTGACTAAATGGTTTCTCCTATCTCCACCACCTTCCCAAAAAAATTCCTTTGAAGCTTCTCAATATGATTTCTGACTTTGGTCGGAATCTGGAAGACAGAGAGAAAGTAGACCGGAAGATTTGATAAGGAGGCCTTTAAGAGAGTAAGCCTACCCCCTTTGGAGAGATAACACTTTTTCCAAGTCACTAGTTTCTTCTCGCATTTCTCCAACACAGGACTCCGAAAGTTGAGGGATTTTGGATTCCCACCAAGAGGCATCCCAAGGTAGGTAATGGGGAGATTCTCCACTTTGCACCCCAATAACGCTTTGAAATTTTCTAGAAGATCCACTTCCACTGAGTTGATAGCCACAATACTGCTTTTGCAAAAATTAACTCTCATACCAGTGAGAATACAATTAACTCAAATAAAGTAATTCTCCAAGGCAAAAAGAAAACCCCCTTTTTTCTCTTCTATGTTACAAATGAATTATACAAGAAATGTATGAGGTAAGGATTAAAAGAGTCTCTAAAGTCTAAACAAAATAAAAATAACCTAAAGTTACCTACCTTATCTCCAATAACAGCCCAAGTCTCTCATTATAGACCATCCAGTTTATAAGGCTTTTCAGAAAGCCATCACATGAAGAAATGGTCCCTAAGGTTCTCAGGAGACAAAACAGACGAAATAGGTTTCCTAGTTCTCATGTCACATTGATTCAAATGAACATGAGAAAGAAGTAGGGTCCTTAGTTTGGACGGCCTGATCAAGAAAACCATATCATGTCATGTAGTTATAATCACTCGTTGTGTGCTCTTGTTCAACTGATAAAGATATGAAGATCGTTTAACAAATAAAAACTAGGATGTGGTAGGTAAACGAGAGATACCACTCTTATAGCAGCTAATTTTGGATTTGACAGCTAACTACAGGCTTAGAAGGACATGAAAAAATGGTACTTAGGCATGCAGAGCAAGACGAAGAGGTTGTTATGGGCCCGCGCGTAGGATCTCGTCACAGGTCGGTCCACGGGGAGGAAGCCATGCTTTCCCTTGCGTGCGCCCTTGCGTGCAGAACCTATTGTGGAAAACCGAATGGGTGATTTGTCCAAGAGACCACCCGAACTCTCCTAATGGGTGATTTGTCCAAGAGACCACCCGAACTCTCCTAATTGGTGATTTGTCCAAGAGACCACCCGAACTCTCCTTACTCTTCTCTTGACTGGGAAAACTAAATGCCTTTATTTCAATTCGTAGCTCCTCAAATAGGAGATTACAGAAGGAAATTCCTAATTAAACTCAAACTCCAACTTGAAATCAAACTCCTAATTACCTATTCCTAATGGTAACACACTTTTAAGATAAGATAAGGACAAGATAAGATAAGGGATGGTGTAGCTGGCGGCGGGCGGCCCGCTGTGCGTGCTGCTGCCTATCACTGCGCCACAGTGCGCTGCCGGGTGGTGTGTCTATAACAGAGGTCCATATGAAGGACGAAAAGGTTAAGAGTTTCTGCCAAGCACTCTTCGAATCTGAAAGATATAGCTCTGTATCTGTATCAATTAGGGAAGAATGGGCAAAGTGCCTAATATATATTTTGGCAATAATTACCATCTAACAGCTAAGATTCCTTATGCGAAGTACACTACAGCACCGGTTAAAAAAAACAAGTAAACTTGTTACACTAAAAAGAATTGTTTACGAATTAATTAAATCAATTCGACCGAATTGAGCTTCTACTTGAATCTAACAGAATGAGAGCTTCTAAAACTTGAACTAGCTTTCAAATCTGAAAGAAGCATAGCCATCGACAGGCCGGAACTTCAGGATTTGAAACCTTATCCTAACACAAATATCGCAGATATAAGGGCAAAAGAGCATGGATCCATGTACCTCTAAATCAAATTGCATCGTCTCTGCAACATGGCGCATGATGGAATGAACAAGTTTACTCTTGTTATACCTCTCCTCGCATGCCTGAATATCTTCCTCCGACACCCTTCTCTTGCTGAGATCAATATAACCTTTCTCCTTATCAACCCTAAGAACCATAGCCGGCTCTTGTCGTCCTACCTTTATCAAACTGCTCACACTGCGAATCCGACGACGAGAGAGTTCCGAGAACAAAATCATACCCTCTATGTTATTGTACTCAAGAAGAGAAACATAAGCTCCCATATCGGCAATGTTCTTCACTTGAATCATTACCGCCATGTCAACTTCTGGGTACTTTGCTTCGTACATCCGGCAGTCTAAGTTCGGCACATTCGTCGCCATGTCTGAGGAACTAAGCTAGGTTTTCTAGGATTCTAGAAGCAAACACAAAACTAGGGTTTTCGCCTAGAACAAGAATTCAAGGTTTTCTTCTATACGATGTGATGGTTGAAACCTTTAGGCTGGGACTTGAATAAAGCAAAGCTGTGAGCGTCTACGCACTGGTCTAAGAGCTGGAGTCCTACGTGTTTTACGGCCTAGGAAAGAATTATACAAAGACGATTAGACGAAAGATGTTTTTTCTATTTTGTGAGTTGGTATCATCCTCCCATCCATCGGCAACTAAAGTAAGGGTTATCCTCCAAATTACGCGCCAAAATAAATACGTGGAAATAAAACGTCGACAGCAGGATTCGACAAGGTCTTTCGAAGCTTTTACCTAATTAATTTGTGTTTTTCTGACAACACCTAGGAATCCAAATCATCCTGAATTCGTGATTGAACGGGCCACCTTTCAACCATTCCCACCTTTTGATTGCCTTAGTAGAATTGGTTGATATAAATTAATGAACTAGCGGGGATCCGTGCAATGCATAATAAAACAAAATGCAATTTTTGATAAATTATTGTAATTTATTTAGGTTCATATTATTAGATAATTTGAATTAATTATCATCCTAAGTTCTACTAATTTTTGGAATTTAATGGTTATTTTTACAAAGTTATACTAATTTCATCTATTTTATCATATTTTATGGAAATTAATGGTTATTTTCCCTAAGTTCTACTAATTTCTGGTAATTTCTATTATATAATAAATTATGATAATTCTTGGAAAATATAATATTTTATGGAAATTAGTGGTTATTTTTGGCTAAGTTCTACTAATTTCTGGTAATTTATATTATACTAATTTATGAGAATTCTTGGTCAATATATACTTATTTTTTATACTTTTTTATAAGATAGTTTATTGGTCGATTAGTGGAAATTAGTTCTATTATATAATTTCTACTAACTTCTATTATATACTAATTTTTTGGTAAATATATTCTAATGTATTATATTTATTATATGATAGTTTATTGGTAAGTTCTAGTAATTTATCAATTTTATTGAATTTAGTGGCTATTTTTTTGGACATTTCTACTAATTTATGATAATTTTTGGCAAATTATTTTAATGTATTTAGGATTATATTATTTGATAATTTCAAGTAATTATCATCCTAAAGTCTACTAATTTGTGATAATTTCTTTTGATTTATTTTAGTAATTTTTTGTATAAATATTGGTAATTTATGTCTAATAATGGTAATTTCTTTTAAATTATATTTGATAATCTTTATAGTTATTTTACAATTGTTATTGTTACATTATTTGACAATTTTAGGTATAACAGTTATTAAATTTCAAAAAAAAATCAAATAGCACTATTTTTAACTTACAATATGTAACAATCTTCAAAGCACAAAATATATAAATGTAAACCAAAGCAATTCAAGGTTCAAATATTGGCCCATATCGGCCGAAATGTATCATGCCGATGGCTTCCTAATACACCCCTACATGGGTTGTATTGGGTCAGCCACTAGTTCAAAGGGGAGCTAGGCCTTAAATTGGCCCCTTTGAACCGATTTCGAAAAAAAATAAGTAAAAACATAAAAAAAAGGCACCAACACAAGGCGTACTGGCCCGTGTTGATATTTAGAACATTGAAACAATTAATTTAGCTAAATGCAAAAAGCATTTTTAACTAACATTATATAACAACCTTCAAAGCACAAAACCCAAAAATTTAAACCAAAGAAATTCAATAAGCAAAAAGACAAACATTATTTTAATATTTAATAAATAACAGCATTTATCAATAATAGTAAGTAATTATAATATTTTATTAAATAATTAGTAATGATAGTTTTAATAATATTATTTAATTATTTTTAATATAATAGTAATTATTAAATTTATGAATAGGATGTATTAACAATATTCATTAAATTAATAATTACCAAAATTAAATTAAATTAATAGTATTTATCAATAATAGTCAATAATTATAATATTTTATTAAATAATCAATAACAATATTTTTAATAACATTTTTAATTATTTTTAATATAACAATAATTACTAAATTTATTAATAGTATTTATAATTTTAATTTTAAGTAAAATTAAAGTAAATATCTATTTATTAACAATATTTATAATAACAGTAATTATTAATTATAATCACTAATTATATATTTATTAAATTATTGTAATAATCAGTATTTATTAAAATCGGATTAAAATAAATAGATAATAATATTTATCTAAACTAGGTTTATAAATAAAATCGGGTTTGATATTTATAGTCAGTAATAGTTAGTAATTATAATCAGTAATGGTTAGTAATTATAATCGGTAATTAATTTTAATCAATAATTAAATTACTGCCATTTGGCAAAGTTAGTAATTATTTTTGAATCAAAGGTAACTTTTTATTAAAGAAGAAACAAGCAGAAGTACATGAGAGGATGTATTGAAGCCAAGAGAGGCTTGGCCAGCTTACAAAGGCAAACAACTGTCACTAAACAAGAAATCTCTAGAGACCCCTGATTTTGTTAGGAAATTAGCAATAGAATTTTGCTCCCTAGGAATCTAGACCAACTTCACATTCATAGAGTCTAGGATGTCCCTGGCTTCCACTAAAAAGTGGGCTAATCTCCAAGGCCCTCCTTTATCCTGTAACCAAGCTATAACATTTGCAGAATCCCCTTTAATTGTTAAGGAGGATAATCCTAGTTGCTTGGCGAGGCAAATTCCTGTGAGTGCTGCCAAAACCTCAGCCTTTGTGGCATCAGCCCTCTCAATCGGACCATTGTAAGCCCAGCAAATATTCCCCCTTTCCCCTTGAATTACACCCCCAATTTAATGGAGATCGAGGTGCTGGCCAAATGGCTTAAGCTAATATTCCCAAATATTCTCAAGATCCTTTGCAAGGAATCGGTGGTCCAATGACTAGGGCAAGRACAAAGAKGATGAAAGAGRYTTTACAAGGCTTAATCATGGAAGTGCATGACAAAGAGGCTATTCTAAAAGATTCTAAGACTGTTCTAGAAGTTTCCAAAGCTTCACCAAGGATAATCACCTATC